CCCCAAAACCATCCAGGTGGAACTGGATGATCTTTAACTGGATGATCCCAAACTCAGTCGTGCGATTCTATCCCAACCCAAAACCCCAAACCCCTCCATAACCCCACAGTGCCGAACCCCATTTTCCCCCCTGCCCTGTTTATCCCCCTGGGGATGCATTTTCCTGCAGAGCAGGGTGGGGCAGGCCCAGGAGGTGACAGGGCGCTGCTGTGTCCCCAGCCCTGCACGTGGCCAGCGCCGGGCAGCGCGCAGGGGCCGTGGGGGCCCTGCTGCGGGCCGGGCTCCAGGACGCTCCTGATGCCACGGGAACGCTGGCCCAGCAGCTGGCCAGGAGCCCTGATGTCATCCAGCTCTTCAGGGGACACCAGGCAGCACCTGAAGAGGAGGAACCTGCTCCTTTTCCACACGGTACAGTGGTCATTCCTTGTCACAGGGGTTCCATGCTGTTGTCTCCTATCATAAAAGTTTCACATCTCCTTGGTGTTTCTCGTGGGCAACTCCTCACAGCACTGACCCTTTGTCCTTCACAAGGCACCCAACAAACTCCAGCTCTCTCCTCACCCAGCCACCCCACTCTTTTACAGCCCTCATCCTCCTTGGTCACAGCTGTGGCCTGTTCCTAATCTTTGATAACTGGCCCAGTTGCAGCTCCTTAGGGCTGGGATCCACAGACCTTGTTGGTGTTTCTCATGGGCAGCTCCTCAGAGCACTGACTCCTTCACAAAGCACCCAACTAACTCAAAATCCCTTCTCACCACCACCCCACTCTGTTATAGCATCTTCTTCTCCTTGGACACAGCTGTGGCCTGTTCCTAACCTTTGATAATTGGCCCAGTTGCAGCTCTTTAGGGGTGAGATCCACACCCTTTGTTGGTGTTTCTCATGGGCAGCTCCTCAGAGCACTGACTCCTTCACAAAGCACCCAACTGACACAAATTCCCTTCTCATCAGCCACCCCACTCTTTTGTATCACTCTTCTTCTCCTTGGTCACAGCTGTGGCCTGTTCCTAACCTTTGATAACTGGCCCAGCTGCAGCTCTTTAGGGGTGAGATCACTTTCTACACAATTTTTATTTTCTGACCTTCTATCCCCCCACAACAAACTGCTTTTCCCATCCCAAATCCAGCAGTGGGATGGAGCCTGTGGCCCTGGGTGTGATTGTCACTCAGGGGCACAGCCCAGCACGGGGCCCTGTTGTCCCTCAGCCCATGGATCCAGCCTGGCCAGATCCCTCTGGCAGAGCCACATCCCACCCGGCCTGGTGGGAGCCCAGAACTGACTGAAGGTGCCCTTGGTCTGTTGGCATCTTATTGCAGTGGTTTCATATCACAAAAGTTATCTTCTTATCACAAAAGTTGTCTCCTATCACAAAAGTTCCACACCTTCTTGGTGTTTCTCATGGACAGCTCCTCACAGCACTGACTCTTTCTCCTTCACAAAGCACCCAACTGACTCCAATTCCCTTCACACCACCACCCCACTCTTTTATAGCATCTTCTTCTCACTGGGTACAGCTGTGGCCTGTTAAAGTCAGGCTGTTCCTAATCTTTGATAACTGGCCCAGCTGCAACTCCTCAGGGGTAAGATTACTTTCTACACCATCTTTATTTTCTTACGTTCTATCCCCCTACAATTCCTTGCCAGATTGAGGGAAACAGCTGAATAAAATCCCCATATTGATCCCCAAAGTCAGGAGTCTCTTTAAATTAAGGATCCCCCAAATAAGGGACTTGCCCCATAAACAGAATCCCCTTCAATTGTATCCCCCACTAATGAGAGGTCCCCCAAAATTAAGAACCACCCCCAAATAGAGGATTCTCCCCTAAATTGAGGAAAAACCCTAAACTGAGGAAAAACCCCTAAACTGAGGAAATTCCCCCCCCCCCCAAAATTGAAGACCCCCCGAATGGAGGACCCCTCCCCAGACTGAAAACTCCTCCAGATTGATGAATACCCTAAACAGAGGAACCCCTTAGATGAAGGAGCCCCCAAAAACTGAGGATTCCCCCAAGTTTAGATCTGTCCCCAAATAAAGAACCCCCTTCAATTGTATCCCCCACTATTGAGAGAACCCCCAAAAATAAAAAACCCTCAAATAGAGGATCCTCCCCTAAATTGAGGAAAAACCCCTAAATTGAGGAAATCCCCCCCAAATTGAGGACTCCCTAAATGGAAGACCGCTCCCCAGACTGAAAACTCCCCCAAACTGATAAATACCCTAAACAAAGGAACCCCCCCAGGTTAAGGAGCCTCCCAAAACTGAGGATCCCCCCAAGTTTAGGTCTGCCCCAAATAAAGAACCACCCTTCAATTGTATCCCCCCACTATTGAGAGGACCCCAAAAATTAAGAAACCCTCAAATAGAGGATCCTCCCCTAAACTGAGGAAAAACCCCTAAATTGAGGAAACCTCCCCCAAACTGAGGACCCCCTAAATGGAGGATTCTCACCCAGACTGAAAACTCCCCCAAATTGATGACTATCCTAAACAAAGGGACCCCCCAGGTTAAGGAGCTCCCCAAAACTGAGGATTCCCCCAAGTTTAGATCTGTCCCCAAATAAAGAACCCCCCCATAAAATCAAGATTTTTACTCAAATTTGAGCAGAGGAGCCAAGCTTGGCATTGGGGAGTAGATTTAGGAGAAATGTTTGAAATAGGATTGTCTCAAAGGATAATGGAGGTGATGGGTGTGGGCTCTTCCCTGGGAGGGTGGGGAGGGCCTGACCAGGTTCCCAAAAAAGCTGTGGCTGCTCCATCCCTGGAAGTGTCCAAGGCCAGGCTGGAGCAGTCTGGGAGAGTGGGATGAGATGATCTTCAAGGTCCCTTCCCACCCAAATTATCACATTCCTGTTCTGATCCGTGGTTATAAATTTATTTTCTTCTTTCACCTCTTCCTGTGCAGCTCCCTGAAACAGAAACCATCCAGGGAAGTGCCACTTCCAGGGATCCTCGTGGCTTTTCCTGGGAATCTCCACACCCTGAACATCCCCATGGAGAAAATCCACCTGGATCATGGATTTACCTGCTCTCCACAAATCCCTTAAACTGCAATCATTTGCAATTTAATTTTTTATGTGACCTCTTTGGGTAGCACAGAGACTCTTGAAGCTGCACCAACCTTTTGAATCCTCTTTGTAGGCCACAGCTGATCCCAAAACCTGCAGGAATCTGTGGTGGGACCTCAGCCTTGTGAGGACATCAGGGATCTCTGGGTCAGACTAAAACAAGGAGGTGTTTTATCCCAGACTGGAATTCTGGGCAATTCCCAGCACTGGTGAACTTTAAATCCCAATAATCTGCTCCTGGAATTCCCAGCAAGGTAAGAGCAGCTGCAGCTGTTGGGTTTGTGCAGCTGGAATTATAAATTCCATCCAAAACCCATGTGTCCTCGTCTGTTTGTGATGCCAGGAGTCAAAAACTGATGGAATTCTGCTTTTTTGGGGATGGCAGATGTTAAAAATCAGGCAGGGAGTGAGGTAAGGTGTGCACCATGAGCCATGGTTGGGTTTGAGTGGGAAATTCCCACCTTGCTCTCCCTGGAGCAGCCCCTGGGTAGGTGAGGAAATTATTTTATTCCTCCAAAAGGAATAAAAAAAAATTAAAGGATTAAATTTAAAATTTAAAGATCCAATTTAAGCCCATAAATCCAGCTCTGGCCTCCCTGCAGCAGGAAATGCAAGGAGCTGCTTAATTCCCATTTTTTATCATTTTAATAAACCATGGAATATCGGTGTCCTCCCAGTATTGCTGATGAGAAAAACCAGTGGGAATGTTCCCAAATATCCATGGAAACACAAAGGGGAAACTCCTCAAAAACATGGGAATGCCTCAAAACACCAAGGGGAACGTGCATTATTTTGGGGGTTGGAAAAGGAATGTAGATTCAGCTTTGTGCCTGCAAAATTCCTCCAGGGAATTCTGGTTTTTCCAAAAACTTTTCCTTCCTGTTTTTTATTCCCAAACAATTGGGATGTAGGAATGCAGCCTAATTAGGGGTTTTTGTTGGGATAGTTGGCACATTTCTAATTAAAAGTGGTTCATGGGGTGCCTGGGATGGGATGGGAAAGCATCAGATGTGGAGGGATTGGGGGGTCCAATTAAACCCCCCTAAACTGAGGAACCCCCTCATTTAAAGACCCCATTAAACTGACAACCCCCCCCTAATTTAAGGACCTCCCTAAATTGAGGATGCCCCCCAGTGAACCCCCTAAATTGAGGGGCTCCCCAATATTAAGGAACATCTCCAAACTGAGGATCCCCTTGAAATTAAGGATGCCCCAAATAGGGGACTCCCCCCAAAAAGAGAACCCCATTCAATTGTATCCCCCACTAATGAGAGGTCCTCCAGAATTAAGAATCATCCCCAAATAGAGGATTCTCCCCTAAATTGAGGAAAAACCCCCAAATTGAGGAACCCCCAAATGGAGGATCCCCCCCAGACTGAAAACTCCCCCAAACTGATGAATACGCTAAATAGAGGAACCCCCAGGTTAAGGAGCCCACCAAAACTGAGGAACCCCCAGCCTGGGTCTGTCCCCAAATAAAGAACCCCCCATAAACCGAGGGCCCCTCTCCAAGTGGAGGAAATTCCCTAAACTGAGGAATCCCCCAAACTGAGGATCCATGAAAATTGAGGACCACCCCCCATTGAAGGGCCCCCCTAAACTGAGACCACCCCAAATAAAGGACTCCCCCAAACAAAGGACTCTCCCAAACTGAGGGCTCCCTAAACTGAAGTCCCCCTCAAATTGTGAACCCCATAAATGAAGGAGCCCCCCAAATTTAGGACCCCCCCCCCAATATAAAGGCTCCCCCCTGCGCACACCGAGCCCATAGGGGTGGCCATGGAACTGCGCATGCGTGCCGCGCCCCCACCACGGTGGCAGCGCCGCTCGCGCGCGCATCGCTCCCGCCCCTTGAGTGACGGCCCCGCCAGCCAATGGCGTGGCGCATCCGGCCGTGATTGGCAGGCGCGTGGGCGGGGCGCAGGTGGCCCGGCCCCGCCCCTCCCGGCGCGGTCCCCTCACGGCGGCGGCTCCATTTTCTCGCGCTCCCGCGGCCCCCGCGTAGCGCCCGGTTTGCCTCAGCCCCGGCCGAGAGACCCCCGAGACACCGCGCGCCGCCATGAATGAGGAGTACGACGTGATCGTGCTGGGCACCGGCCTCACGGTGAGGAGCAGCCGCCGCCCGCTCGCGCCTCGGGCCTGCTGCGGGCGGCCGCCGCCCTGCCCCGCCCCGCCGCCCCCCCTCCGCCATCCCCCGGCTCCTGCGGCTGACCCCCTTCCCCGGCTCTCACCCACCCCCCGCCGCTGTCCTTTGCCCGTCTATCACCTGATCATCCCCCCCCGGCTGGGTGTGAGCCCCCCCCGCCTGGGGCGCTCGGGGCTTTATCCCCTCCCCCAGGGTGTGCGGTGCCCTCCCCGGTCTCTCACCTGATTCTCACCCCACTCGCCCCATTCAGGCCGTGTTCTTCAGCTGTCACCTGTCCATCGTAGCCCCCCCCCCCCCTCTGTCTGGGTGCTTCTCCCTGTCCTTATCCCTAAAATTACTGGGGATCTGGTGTATGTGACCCCCTGGGGGACCCCTGGGTGCTTTCCCCTGTCATTAATTATCTCAACACCCCCTCGGCTTCAGTCCCACCCCCACCCTGGATCCTTTCCCATTCATCTCCAGCCCAGCCTGGGATCCTCCCCCTCCGCCCCTCAGCATTACCCGTGGGTCTGGTGCGTGTGACCCCCCCGGGGGACCCCTGCCTCATTTCCCCATCATTAACTCTCACAGCACCCCGCAGCTCCAGTCCCATCCCCACCCTGGATCCTTCTCCCCATCCCTAACTGGACCCCCGGGTGGGGTTTTTATATGATTTTTATATATATATATATATTTTATAAGAGCTCCTCGTGTTTGGATATCCCCGTCCCCGATCCCCGCCGCTCCCAGGGGGCCCCAGGAAATGCGGTTGTTTTGCGGAGGGAGGGCGTGGGGAGACTCGGACAATAAAACGCCGACGGGCATTTATTGCCTTTCATTTATTTTTTTAATTATTACCTTATTTTTTTCCATTCACGCATCCCTTCCCCCTTCCCCCCCGTACCCCAAGTCTAACGTGGCTGCAGGTCCGTGCAGGGTGGAGGCAGCCGTGCTTATCCCCCCCCCTCCATCCCCATTCCCGCTCCGCCTTTGCAGCCTTCGGCTCCATCCAGCCCTGACTGCAGCAGGAGGGGGATGGGAGGCTGGCGAGCCTGTCAGATTTCCCTTATTCCCCCCTCCAAAAAAAATCCCCTTTCCTGCGATGTGGCTGCATCCCGGTGATCCCTGAGGAGAGCTGACAGCTGATGGGGTGCGGCGGAGGGAGGGGGACGAGCCCTGGTGGGGCTTTGTCCTATTGTGGAGGATGCAGCCCGCGCCGCAGGCAGCCCTGGGGAAAAAAACATGGCAGTGCCGCTGCCCGGGAGGTTTGCAGGGGGATTTCTGCCCGGTCCTGCATCCCCGGAGGCCGAGAGATGCCACGGGAGGGCGGATTGCAGGTTCCAAACGCGAGGCATTGTTTGGGGAAGGGGGGAAGAAAATCCAATATGGTGGAAAGGTTTTCCTCCTTGTGCAAGTGGCCTTTCCTGCTTTTGTTCCCTCCTGCTGGTGGGGAGAGGTGGCTGGACAAAGGGATCTCTTTGGGGTTGGCCCAGTGGGGTTCCCCCATTTCCCCTGGGATGGGGATCAAATTGAAATCCAGGCGTGGTTTGGGTGCTGTGATTGATGGGGCTGCTGACACAGGAGCCCACTGAAGGCACAGCTGGGTTATCATCCCCCTCTTTTGGGTTTGGGGAGAAGGGTGACACAAGGAAAGGTGTAAGGAAGGTGTAAGGTGTACCCTGAATGTGGCACAAAGGGAAAGGTGTAAGGTGTACCTGGGATGTGGCACAAGGAAAGGTGTAAGGAAGGTGTAAGGTGTACCCTGAATGTGGCACAAGGAAAGGTGTAAGGTGTACCCTGAATGTGGCACAAAGGGAAGGTGTAAGGTGTACCTGGGATGTGGCACAAGGAAAGGTGTAAGGTGTACCTGGGATGTGGCACAAGGAAAGGTGTAAGGTGTACCTGGGATGTGGCACAAGGAAAGGTGTAAGGTGTACCTGGGATGTGGCGCAAAGGAAAGGTGTAAGGAAGGTGTAAGGTGTACCTGGGATGTGGCACAAGGAAAGGTGTAAGGAAGGTGTAAGGTGTACCCTGAATGTGGCACAAAGGGAAGGTGTAAGGTGTACCTGGGATGTGGCACAAGGGAAGGTGTAAGGAAGGTGTAAGGTGTACCCTGAATGTGGCACAAGGAAAGGTGTAAGGTGTACCTGGGATGTGGCACAAGGGAAGGTGTAAGGAAGGTGTAAGGTGTACCTGGGATGTGGCACAAGGAAAGGTGTAAGGAAGGTGTAAGGTGTACCTGGGATGTGGCACAAGGGAAGGTGTAAGGAAGGTGTAAGGTGTACCCTGAATGTGGCACAAGGGAAGGTGTAAGGTGTACCTGGGATGTGGCACAAGGGAAGGTGTAAGGAAGGTGTAAGGTGTACCCTGAATGTGGCACAAGGGAAGGTGTAAGGTGTACCCTGAATGTGGCACAAGGGAAGGTGTAAGGTGTACCTGGGATGTGGCACAAGGGAAGGTGTAAGGAAGGTGTAAGGTGTACCCTGAATGTGGCACAAGGGAAGGTGTAAGGTGTACCCTGAATGTGGCACAAGGGAAGGTGTAAGGAAGGTGTAAGGTGTACCTGGGATGTGGCGTAAGGGAAGGTGTAAGGTGTACCCTGAATGTGGCACAAGGGAAGGTGTAAGGTGTGTGTCCATCTGCTCCAGGGGACACCCAACTGTCCCAGCTGCTTTCATTCCTTTCCAGGCTCTCCTTTGAGGAGGAGCAATGGCTTAGGAGGAAAAGCTTCTTCCCCTTGGTAGGGAAAGCTGGAGCCTGTCCTAAAGCCTGGCCCAGCCCAGCCAAGCAGGGAAAGGCACTTTTGGGGAGGTGAAATATAATGAGCTTGTAGTGAAGGGGCCTCCAATAGATCGGAGCTGCATTAAAATGTTAATTTATGCTTTAGTGTGAGCGGGGTATCAAGTTGGTGAACGCTGGGGCTTAATCTCAAACTGACAAATGCCAGTGTAAATTTGACAAAAGGCCTCTTGTGAAATCACTTTTAAGACAAGCTCCTGCTAATGAGCAGCGGTTGAGTTAAAAGGAATAAATTAGGGCCGAATTTTAAGGTGTGCTGACCAAACTGCAGAGCCTGGGAATATCCAGGAGCTCGGATTTTGCTGCTGGTGTGCTGGCTTTGCCTCTGAAATACCAATTAGGGTGGGCTTCGTCTCGTCTTGAGCAGCTCATGTGGAAAAGAATGGAAAGCAGAGGTGCTGGTGCAGCCATGCCAGAATTCCTGCTGCTGGCTCAGCCGTTGTGAGTGGTGTTGGAGCAGAGCTGGGTCAGGCTGGCCTGGAGGACCCTCCTGCTCTCACATGAAGCTTGAAGGCTGCTCCTCCAGCTTTGGTAGCAGTGGAAAAGGATCTAGTACCTGTGGTACCTGAGGAGAAGGAGCTGGAAACAGGTCCAGTTGTTGCTTTCCTTTTCCAGAGCAGCTGTCACAGAGGTTCTGCTGGTCAGGCTGCTCCTGGATTTGCTGCTGGAGCCCCATCAGGCCCTGTTGTGGCTCTGAGGTTGTGTCTCTGCTGCTGATCTGGAGGGGATTTTTCTTTTTCCAAAGGGAAAGTTCGGGTGTTGGTTTAAAGAGGAAGAATGAGTGGTTGGAGCTTTGTAAAAGAGCACAAATAAATCCATTGTAGTGGTCATTGTGGTTGGGTCTGTGGGGCCACTGGGTGCTGTGTGCATTCCACTGGGATGGATCTGGAAGTGCAGCATGAATGTTTCAGGTGTTAATCTCTTCCTCAGCACTAGTGAAGGACTAAAGGCAGCTTTAGGTCTGGGATTACTGGCACTCCAGCTATTTCAGCTTTTCCCTTCTGTGTGCTAATCAGAGCCCCCCATTGCAGTGCCAGCTCATAGAGATGTCTTAGCCCTGTGGGGAAAAATAATCCTGAATTATTGCTGGTACAGTCCCTCAGACTTCCAGAACTCCATGGCTGCTCCTGCTCCCTCTGCCTGGGTCACTGTGAATGAAGTGAGAGCTGCATCAGAGCTGGTGGATCTTCCAGCTGCCTCATTCCTGCTGGGAATGGCTTTTCCAGGCTGCTGGAGCTTTAATAGCTTTAAGGTCCTTGTCTTAGGCTTTCTGTGTGCATCATGTGTGCCAGATTAGGGATCATCTTCCTGCAGCCCTACTGCCCAGACTGGTTTTTAATCTGGTGCAGTGGTCACACACTGGAGAGCTCCTGGTGGCTGGATTTTCTCACCTCTCTTTTCATTCCCGGGATTTCCCAGCCCACCCTGATTCCCACCTCTGCTGTGGGAGTGGCTCGGTGCTCCCTCGTTGGTTATGTCAGAGTGGGATGTGGTGCCTGGGGACAGGCTCTGTTACCTGCCCTCCCTGCCTCTACACAGTTATTTCCCGTGGATATTGGGGATAATTGAACCCTCCAGTTGAGCCCCAGTAGGTGAATGCTCCGTTCCTGCTGAGGTTTCACTCTTTGCAGGCTGAGCTAAGCTGCTTACCTGCCAGCTGCCTCCCCATGGCAAAGCTGTTCAAATCCACCTCAGAGATACGGATTCACTTTCTGTGGGAGCAGAGGAGCCACACTCACTGCTTCAGGGTGTATTTATTCCTACAGGCCCAGGCTGAAGAGCCTCAGAGTGACTGTGAGGCCCATGTGGGAGCGTCTGCTGCAGGGGACACCCAACTGTCCCAGCTGCTTTCATTCCTTCCACGGCTCTTCCTTTGAGGTGGAGCAGTGGCTTAGGAGGAAAAGCTTCTTCCCCTTGATGGGGAAAGCTGGAGTCTGTGTCCTTGGGTAGCAGAGGGGATTGTTGCAGTGTGGTGAGGAGTTGTTCTGGCAGGTGTAGGATGGGCAGGAGTTGTGTTTACAGGTGTAGGATGGGCAGGAGCTGTTTGTGCAGGTGTAGGATGGGCAGGAGTTGTGTTTGTGCAGGTGTAGGATGGGCAGGAGTTGTTTGTGCAGGTGTGGGATGAGCAGGAGCTGTTTGTGCAGGTGTGGGATGAGCAGGAGCTGTTTGTGCAGGTGTGGGATGAGCAGGAGCTGTTTGTGCAGGTGTAGGATGGGCAGGAGCTGTTTGTGCAGGTGTAGGATGGGCAGGAGCTGTTCTGGCAGGTGTAGGATGGGCAGCAGCTGTTTGTGCAGGTGTAGGATGGGCAGGAGTTGTGTTTACAGGTGTAGGATGAGCAGGAGCTGTTTGTGCAGCTGTAGGATGGGCAGGAGCTGTTTGTGCAGGTGTAGGATGGGCAGGAGTTGTGTTTACAGGTGTAGGATGAGCAGGAGCTGTTTGTGCAGGTGTAGGATGGGCAGGAGCTGTTTGTGCAGGTGTAGGATGAGCAGGAGCTGTTTGTGTAGGTGTAGGATGGGCAGGAGCTGTTTGTGCAGGTGTAGGATGAGCAGGAGCTGTTTGTGCAGGTGTAGGATGGGCAGGAGTTGTGTTTACAGGTGTAGGATGAGCAGGAGCTGTTTGTGCAGGTGTAGGATGGGCAGGAGCTGTTTGTGCAGGTGTAGGATGAGCAGGAGCTGTTTG